AAAGAGTGGTGTACTAGAAAGGCTTCTTACCACTTGGTATCGGGAATTACAAAAGTGTATGCCAAATAACATTCGATGTAACTTTTATTCCAGTACTAGAAATAAATTTACCAAGCGGTAAGGGGCCCTTCTCCTACGTCAGTTTTTCCCCTAGCGGGAGCCGAGTTTCCTCGTGGGAGGGTATATGCGTGTGTATTCCTCCCTCTCGTAGTAAGACTGACCTTGGACCATCGTGGCCGCCCTGGAGAGTACGTCCAAGGCGCTCTCGACAGCGGACATGCCGTGGGGACCGACGGATCCTTGCGGAGCAGCCTCTTGAGCGGTTAATCGTTAGTCGGTGGCGGTTTTCCCGGTCGTCGGTTCCCAGGAGTAGCAATATACACACGTTGGAAACGCAGCGGGCCAATATTCACCAGCCGTCTACAGAGAATATCCAGTGGAAGAGCCCGGGGCCGCGCAGGAATCCGCTCTCTAAGGAAAGAAGTCGAACTTAACTGTTTGGGGGCCTTCCTCGCGGCCGAAGCCAGCACAAATAAAGTAAAATGGGGATTAAAAAACGTGACATTGTCTGTGGAATGCGGACCCCTCACCAGAGGAGGCCCGCCCCTTGCTTCTTTCCTCGCCTCATCGTGCCTCCCCCCTCCCCCCAAACCGCGCGGCGTTGCTTCGCGAGCTCTCCCTCTCCTCCACCCCCTCCACCACTTCACTGTCGTCGCGATCCCACTCACTCCACCCGCCTAGCGATAGACTCGTCGCGCAGCACGCTTTTCGTTGCCCACAAATTTTCTATTTCGTCTGACGGACGAACAAGCTGTCGTTTGTCAGAGGCACGACCCCCCGACACCTCTCGGGTACGAGGAACACGCTGCCCTGGTGTTCGTACAAGCATTTTTGCCCACCCACGATTTCGACTGACTTTATAAATCCGTTCAGTTTTTCAAGGAAAACTGATCTTTACTGCCCACTTATGGGGGTTATGGTGAATTGAAGATTTGCCCAAATGGTCAATTTGAAATTGTACGACTATTTGAATGATGACTGATGCTTTGGTATGTACCGATTACACTTGGGACACTTCAGAGATGTCCTCTGGTACGCTCTTCACGGGGACAATTGTCCGTTTGGTAATTGCGAAACCAACGAGTTCAATTGTTCCAGGCTGCGCACTTAGGGCGTTCCTCGTATAACCGCTGATGGTAATTCGCGGGACGAGTGTTTCCCTATTTCTTCGCCGCGACGCTCCTGCCACTCTCCTCCTCCTATAACTGCTGCATCGCAATTCCATATTAACGAACGTAAACAACGATTTATGCATACATAGAAACAAATTATGACGGGAATACGATTTGAATTTCAAATCGAGAAATACTACACTATCCTCAATCCTCTATCGACGCTCAAAGCAAACGTATATACACGTTTTTATGATTTAAAAAAATTCAAATTCGCGAAATAGAATATCACGCTCTTTCCATCTAGCGGGTGATCCCGCAGTTTCGACCCAACATTTCAATCCAACCCGCGGGATAACACGGCTTTATACAATTTTTTCTCCGGTTTCAAATCGCGATTCGGTTCGAGGAACAGCATCCGTCAAAATTGATACAAAAAATTCGTCGAAAATACCAACGACACACGTTCCTATCGGTCGAATGCCCGCGTAGACGGGCTGCGAGAAATATTATCGCTCGGTAAATGAAATTCCCAGGCGGTGATGAATCGGAAACGTCCGAACGTTCGATTGGCACACGCCGACACCCAGCGGAAATTATAAAACACAATTTTTTTCAGAAGGAACACGCGCGTAGAGATCCTTGACAAGCAATGAGGACGTCGCAAACTACCGAACTAGAAGAAAATCCGACAAACACTGACGCTCTCGAAAAACAACGAAAGAAACCCTCGGTTAATAAGAATAAATTATTGTCAACACGCTTTTTCAAGGCAACAGGGGTGGGGGCAGGGGAAAAGGACGAATTTTCCCGAGGCAGCGCGTCCGTCGGTCACGAGGAATCGATAGAGGAATGCGGCGTAGCGTGAAGAAAAAAAGAAAGAAAAAGAAGAGCGAGCCATCACACACACACACGCGCATTCCTCGAGGTAAAATCGAACGGTTTTTTTTCTCCCCCCCCCCAACCCCCCCTCTGTCACGAATATGCACGTTTACTCACCGAACGTTGTGCGATGACACTCGCGTGAACACACGATTAAACGTCCGCCGCGACGTTAACTTGCGACCCGGTACAAGACTGGGCACGTACTTTCATTGAAAACGATGAAAATCTAATGGTATGCGGGCGGACACGCAGAACACGGCCTGTTTGACACGAGAGGTAGCCTCGTCGCTTCCCCCACCGCCGCGACATTACACTGGAATGCATGGCATTCAGTTGTTCACGGACGCGCGCTCTGCAGGCAAAACTGCCAAACCCGCGTGTGCCAGCACGCTCCGTGGAAACCACACTGACAATCACTGACAATCAGGGACACAACCAAACCGTGTACACACTGGGCCCAGGAGAGGGGGGAGGCCACAGGAATCGCAATTCTTATACGTTCAATCCATATTTTGTTGCATCGTGGAGACTGGCTAAAATACAGTATGTTCGATGAGAAAAAAAAATTAAGCGAATTGTCCATGCTAAGTTTTGCACGACTGTTACCATTTATGATAATTGTTACCATCGAGGCATCTATCCCTTCCTCTGTGGCCTGTATTTTGCATTGTCCTCTTTTTAGTATTGTATATACAGTAATCTCTCGATGAGTGCGACAAGGCAGACAGGTTTTCAGCCCTGCTTAGTGCAGAGATTGATTCCAAAGGGGAAGACTCGCTAATGGCGGTAATAACGCAATTCGTGTCGCATTCATCGAGGGATCACTGTATACACCTACAATTTCAACGGTTCTTGCTTCTCTGGAAAGGTATTTGGAAAAGAGTAATTTCGTTAGGATAGTTGATATGGAAAGCAAGAATTTAACTGATAACGTGAACTTGCCCAATCTGCGCTCCATACTGTGGCGTCTGGGAACGGGAGTAGTTTTGGCAAGGCTCGAGGGGATATTCGAATGGAGAGAATAACGTTTTATTCAACATCGTTTATTTCTCCGTTTCCTGTTCCTGTGCTCCATCGATAAAAATGGGATTGAAAAACTGACAACAATCTCTGTACGTCTTGCATTACGATTCGTATAAAAATTCTATGCAAAGGTCACAACGCCTATAATTAGACATCACAACTTCAAGATTACGCGTCACAATGACATAACAAATTATGTCAAATGTCAATCTCATATAAAAAGAAAATTAAAATCCGTGCGATGATCAAGGAATGGACGCAAGATCATTCGGACACGTTTGGCAATACGCACTCATAAAATTCAATATCGTATAGATCCTAGAATACTGATTTGCTGCCCAGTTATTCCCCATCGAATATTTCTATTAGCAGCACTGCGTAACAAAGACGTTTAAAAAAAAGAAATGCCGTGAACAATACAATTTCGTTCCTAACACATGATTTTCGACTGATCGTCATCGTCGTCGCCGTCGCTCAAGTTATCCAAAGCATAACAAAGCTGCGATTAAACAGAAGAAATCGAAATGAATGTACAAGAATATCGAGATAACGTTGATGCACACGATAAGAACTCCAGTGTATGTATACCTCGTCCAAGTCGGGCCTTTTCAGTATTTCTTCCAGTCCCGACAGTTTCTCTAAATAATTCGGAACGTTACACGCATCGAGTACAAACGATAGACCACGGTTTTTATATTCCGCGATAACCGGTGCCGAACACGCCGTGCAGGATGTGAATCTGTGCGTTATCGTTAGTTGCGTATCGTAATTCCACAGGGATCCACGTATCGTATGGGGCACACCTCCTAACAGACCGACCAATTCGGTATCGCTTGGGCTCATGTTCTCCCTGTTGTTGCCCATCAATGCTCCCGCCTCGATACTATTAAAATAGAAATAAAAAAAAGAAATGAAATTACTGAATAAATATTCCCATTTCTATTAAGCTTCAGTTTGTACCTCTGCGGGTGCTGTAGTAAAGCAACCAGCAATTCGACTGCCAAACCTGCAGCGATTTGGGACAAACCTGGTCTGCTCACTGTGCACTGTTGGTCTAAGGTTCTGTCTGTTTGAGACTGCAAGAGAAGAGGCGTTTCTGTTAAAAAATCGAAAAGCAAGGAGCTGAATCAAGGTATTATAGGTCCATACATTTCCCGGTTGCGTTACATCGTTACAGAAGTAACAACCCAGGTCCAAGCCACAAGGATTCTTTATCTCCAAGTCTGGAGAGGATGGAGCAGAAGAGGTCCGTGTACCGTGTCTCTGTACAGTAAAAGAATCGAAACCCAATGCTGCATTAATAGCAATTTTATTCATAGCTGCGCACAAAACAGTGGGCAACCATCTGGCTTCCCTAGAATCTAACAGGAAGAACACCACATCGCTGTTTTTAACGAGTTCCTCCAATTTCTCCAAGGACTGTCTCGTCGACTCCATCATGCTTTTGCCCACAACGTGTCCGGGCATTGGAATGTGTAGTACCACACCGTGGGCGTTCTGTATCATTTATGGAATTAGTATAACGAAACATTGATCGAGAAACCGTTGATTACTCACTATGCTCGGTCTTATATTGAGTAACGCGTCTCTGGCTGCGTAAGCCTTCTGCTTGTGTTCCACAGCGTCCTGATGACTGTATAAACTTTGCCTCACAGTGTTGCTATGAGAAACGTTCGAGTTATCGACGAATGTTATGTCGTTCACACCCCAGCCGAGAAGCACTCTTGCCACCGAACAACCCAATGTACCAGCGCCTAATAGAAGACACCTAAGACTACTGATTTTCTCTAGATCTAAATTCGGCACCAGACGCCATTTCATTAACTTTAAATTTAAGTTAATAGCTCTGTCAGAAAGCCTAATAAACAGACGTAGAGTAATAAGTTTCAAATTTGTAAAAGAATTACGTGTATGATTTATATTTATAAGAGCTACCTGGCTGGATCCATAGCATCAGATAAATCAGCGATATTGGGGCCCATTTTACCATTCGTATTACTTTCCCAACCAACCAGTGGACTCCTCGATAAAGCATTTCTCACTTCTTTACTGTCCTCGTGCTCTTTAACTTTCAGTTTGAAAACGATACTTTTCTGTGCCTTGTTTCCACGTATAGATATAACTTTGATTATTCTAGCGAAACAATGAGTAGGACAATGCCAGAACAGCAGGCACAGGAGATTACGTAAAAGCCAACCTGGTTCCAAGCTTGTGCAAGGATCGTAGAATGCAAAATAAATTTCTTTGTATTCCTGAAGAAGTAAACTGTACATGTACAAGGAAGTGTGTATTGCAGTCAGAAAAATAATGTATTCAATACCTGTGATTCTTCGTCGTAAACTTTATGTGTTTTAATTATGTCCACACCAGTTGCCAAGTCGGTGACAGTAATATTATTTTCACGAGATATTAAGACTGTAAAATAATTCTTTGATCCACCATGCAGTTGCAGAAAGCCTTCACTTAGGTCTTTCACGTGAGTCAATGTAAATTCTTCGTTAATTGACTTCGGGGGCTCTTCGTAATACATTTCAGGCAATTTTAATGGAGTAGGATGAGCAACCCAATAATGAAATTTGTACTTCTTTAAATCTGAGTAAGCCAGTACTAAAAATAACGACAATTTCCATGGTTTTTGCAAGCTAGATCCATCTACAATACTTTCCATGAGCTCCTTTCCCAGGAAATCAATAAATACTTCAGGATTGGTTTGTCTGAATGCTTCAAATGTATTCTTATTAATCATTTTGCCACAACAAACAACCGACGATTTGTGATGAATTGTCTCAATGTCTCTAAAAATGACCTACATGGAGTTCATTTCAACAAGTACTCATTTTACTTAAGATTTATACAATTACAGTATATGCTTTTACTATTGCTTGTACAAACTTACTCATTGAACGATGTGAAATCCAGTACCAAGGGATTGGTATTGTTCTCGTTCAGTGACTGAAGGCTGTAACTTCCCCATAAGTTGATCACAGCCTTGTCATCTAATTTGAATTTATCTATTTTCAATTCCGAAAACTTTGCCCAGAACGTGTGGTCTGTAGAAGACCTAAGTTTTGTGAATTTTACAAATTTCGACATCGTAGTTCTTCTGACTGTGATACAGGGTCTGGAAATAATTCGACAATATTATAGCAATTAGTAAACTATCTAATGAGAGCATTAATACTACTATTCTAAATTACTCGAAAAGAATTTATATTGCTGTAAACATCCGCAGTCTCTGTATCAATTAACTTCGAACCACGGTCAGTCCGCTTATCTCAGTAACCTATATAGATCGCTTAATAATTCTCGATAACGACTAAACTGACGACGATACAATACAACAATATTTACATGACTGAAAGAAACAATTACTTCGTTGTGCTTTGTATCGTTATCGAGATTTTATCATGCATCAGAGAGCACGCATGCGCGTGTTTAATGCGAACTAACAAAATTATACGCTGCTTAAAGTCTCAAGTGAAAGTGTTCCGTTGAAACGTTTGCACATTAACTATTTTCCGTTTTCTCCAGCTTTCTATGACTAACATTTATCAACGTACACTATTTCATGATACCACGCCATATATTCATTCTTTTACCATTGCTAATTCAATTATAAACATTCAAATACAGATATAACAACAACCTTTGATATCGTGCCCTCTGTTTACGACCACTATTTGACATTCAATTGGATGACTTCACAAACTTTTCTCGATCCACGTCATACTCTTTTCTATTAGTTGTCAGTTTAATTATAATCATTTGAATTAAAAATATATCCATCAACAACCTCAAGTCTCGCACAAGCGCCAACGTCTAATACATTATTTCAGAACGCAATTTGAAATCCAGTCAAATGACTATACTACATACGAGACTATATCAAACTTAAATCGAGGATTCAAAATTTGAACGTTAACTATCTCTCAAACTACTAATGTTCAGTAACAGATATTGTTATCATTAACTAAAATATTCGAAGCTCTGTCACTGTGTAAATGTAAATATCAGAGATCCATTCTGTTTTATACCTATTTTTTGTTAAATCTCTTTGCACACTGGAATTTCGTTGTCAAACGTCAGTAACGGGCAAATCATGAACGTCATCGACACTGACGTATTATCTGACGGGCGAAATTTATCAACAATCGTTTTCCAACAGGATCCTCCATGTGGAAACAGTGTACGTACGGCACTGACGATGACGTCACAAAGACAGTATGGCCGGACAGCATCGGCTGTCTGCATCGTAGCCGTGGGTGATCGCTTTCTGGGGGTTCTAAGGGATATTTTTGAGAAAATATGTCGGATTATTTGAGGTCTGCACTGGGATATTTGAATGGAGCGAGCACGAATGAATACGTCGGACAGGTACTGGAGATCAACAATGTGAAATTACGCGTGACCAGGCTACTTGCCGAGGGTGAGTTTCTGTCAACCCTTTCATCCGACTGCTACACCGTTTCTTTGTAATAAGATCTCTTAGTGAGATTGATTACCATCAATGACTTTTTAAAAATGTTCCTTTTTTACGATAGCATCCACAGACAGCGTGAAACAATCCTTAAATTATTGCTGACACAGTGAACAATTAGCCTTTTGACATGTGTCAAGTGTATTTTGACATTTCTCTGTATACTATACAATGGATACTGAGCATTCCTCGATAAGTTTTTTTCCCAATAGATTTTCACACACAAGGATATGAATCAGAGATGTGCATTCAGATATCCATACTTAATCTTTCTTTTTGTTCTCAGAAAACTATGTAATTGTCTTAGAGGCAATCTGTCTCGTCGATACTTTGGTAATACATGTCTAATATTATGTTAACAGGTGGTTGGGCTTTAGTGTTCGCAGTAGAAGACGTTAACACTGGAAAAGAATATGCTCTTAAGGTGAATCGCAGTACATCTGTATTATAATTTTATTGAATGAAAAGTTTGTTCTAACACATGTCCATGTTTTTAGAGGCTCATTGCTGTTGATGAAGAGGCTAATAAGAATATCCTACAAGAGATAGAGACTCTGAAGAGGTTAACAGGTCATCAGAATATAATTCAGTACCTGTATGCTCAGCGCTTGGAACGCGAGGATCGCAAAGGATATGAATATTTATTGGTGACAGAATACTGTCCAGGTGGCACGGTGGCAGATGTACTGAGAAACGTGTCCTCGAATTCCCTAAGTCTTGCCCAGATCTGTAGAATAGCTTATCAAGCGACCAGGGCTGTGCATCATATGCACAGTCAGCAGTCCGAACCGTTTGTACATCGAGACATAAAGTTAGAGAACTTTTTAATCGGAAGCGACGGCCTGATCAAACTCTGTGACTTCGGAAGCACCTCTACTCAGCAGATTCTACCGAATCCGTCATGGAATGCTCAAAAACGTGCCACGTTGGAGGATCAAATGGCAAAGTATACAACACCGATGTATCGTGCCCCAGAAATGATGGATACATGGAACAACGAACCCATCGGTCCACCGGTTGATTGCTGGGCGCTCGGTTGTATCATATACACATTAGTCACATTGAAACATCCGTTTCCCGAAGGTATGCGCTTCTACATCTCTGCGAAGGCTAGGCTGTCAGTGTTTCTGACTTAACGTTGATTTTACAGGAAACAAACTCGCGATAGTAAACGGCAAGTACCCGTCGCTTCCCGCTAATCCACGTTTAAGTTGTTTCCATGACATAGTAAGGGGATGTTTGGAAGTGTCCCCGGTACGACGACTCACGACATCGATGATCCTGGAGCGTCTCGCAGCGATAGCTGAGTCGAACAACTTCGATCCCAGAGAACCCCCGAAAGTAGAAGTAGTAGTAAAGACTCCACCGCCACCCAGACCGACTCCACCGCCTAGTACACCGGCTCCACCGCCTCCTCGACCATCGCCGCCGGTAACCATGCCACCTCCGAGGCCGGCGCCGGCTCAGACAACGGTGGCAAAAGTTCCTGTAGCTCAACCGACCGGCCTGTTCAGTTCGTTGAAAGGCGGTGCTGGTAGCATTCTGCGTAACTTAAAGGACACCTCGAGCAAAGTGATGCATTCGGTGCAACAGAGTATGGCCAGAACCGAGCTAGACGCGAGTTACTTAACATCTCGGATACTGATAATGCCGTATCCAGCGGACGGGATAGAGTCTGCCTATCGGGCGAACCACGTGGAGGATGTCCGAGCTTTTCTTCAAGCCAGGCACCCGCCACCGGCTCGTATACAGTTATACAACCTGTCCCGCGGACGGCCAAACGTGACCAGGCTTCCTGGTAGGCATATCGATTGCTCATTCGCCTACGCATCGTCAGACTCGAATGCTCCTCTGCTGTCCGCGCTGTATCAGATCTGCCAGGACATTTATCGGTACTTAAACGCTGACTTCAACCATGTGGTGGTGTTGTATTGTACCGTGAGTACATACATATTCCTATTAAACTGTCACTAATCGTACGAAATAATGTACAACGATGAATTTCCAGGACGGATACCGGGCAAGCGCTACCATCGCCTGTACACTACTCATTTACGCACGGGCGTTGTCGAGCCCCGAGGAAGCGATAGCGTTGTTCACCACGAGACGCTGTCAGCCGCCTCAGTTGCAAGCCTCAGAATTACGTAGCATTAATTACATGAGCTTACTGTGCAGCGGTGTGCATCCGCACACGAAGCCGTTGGCGCTCCGCTCTCTAATCATACAACCGGTGCCGTTGTTCACCAGAGCGAAAGACGGCTGTCGACCATACATCGACATCTACAGCAACGGCGCCCTGGTGTTCACCACTAAACGGCCCGAGTACGAGGAGATGAGACTGTTCGGTATAATGGAGGGAAAGGTTCCTCTGGCGTTGGGGAACGCGACGGTCCGCGGTGACGTAACCGTGATCCTTTTCCATGCACGCCAGCAGCTTGGCCGTGTGATAGGGATTAAAATCGCCTCGGTGCATTTCCACACGGGTTATATACCGCTGACGGCGACAGCTTTAACGTTCGAGAAGAAGGATCTGGACGACATGCCGGAGGTTGGCAGCAAGTTCCGTGTTACATTAAATATTACCGTAGCTGAAGAGAATGCGAAATTAGCCAGAGTTCCGGCACCCTGGGAGGCAGAGGCCGGGTCTCTGAATCGAGTGGATCGACCCTGTAGTTCCTTTAACCGATTTAATCTTTTTATGGTTTAATTGAAGCAGTAATTCTTGAGGTTATAATTATTACCTTCTTAGTTTCCAAAGGAAGCAACGCCTGCGCCCGCGACTGAGATACCCAGCGAGGTCACTGTACCAGAGGAGAAGGTACC